TTGCAGTCTGTTCTCGCTTCGCATAATTTCCTGAACCGCCAAAGGAAATACTTGAAAAATTCATTCGCGTGAAACACTACCTGTACACAAACCGAGAACTGTTCACAGATGTCACGTAGAATCGTTGCATATGATAACGAACGGCGCTCAACATTTGCAGACCATTCAACAAAACGATCACTGATCGGAGCGAGCTCCTGGTAAAACAGTTCATGCAGTTAGCTTTATGAGACGACTGTTTTATTGTAAAGAATTTTTAAAGGCTGTAGACGATCATGATGATAAAGATTATGGTATGTCTGTGAGCAAAGTGGAAAAGATTACATAATTCAACTCCTATGCTTTATGTAAGTATGTTAACTAATTTTCATTTTCAAGCAAACACTCAATGAGCCGGAGCATCCGCGATCCCATTGAACATACATCTATAACAGCTCGTCGGAATCGTGACACAATCACGAACTGTTCACTGAGAAAAAGGAATTTCTGCTGTGCGAAGCAGTGCTACTTTGGGGACATTTAGTTACTCTATGAACCATGCTCGTGCTCACGAATGGTTGAATGTATAATCTAATATACTGAATGTACTAGCTACTATAAAAATAACGCAAAATCATTATAATGGAATCAAACTTGTACCTAATCAAGCGCAGTCAAAGCGACCAGTGATCTAAGGTAATAGAGCTTTAAAATGAGGTAGAGCTTTTGATATCATTCGCCATCGATAACGACAATCAAGAAAATCGAAACTGCGGAAACTGTTATTAGCTACTTAAAAATTCAGATACCCAGACAACGCATGCGACAAACGGTTGCTGAGGTTAAAAAGATTTTTACTGACTTGAGGATTAAATGTGATCCTGTGCAGCAATCGGCTATGCAACAGTTACGAACTGTAAACCGGAGCCTTGTAATGCCAGGGCGCTGTGACAGAGTGGCAAGAGATTTCAAGAAAAGACTAGCTTGCACATCAGCTAGGTATTCATGAAACTGCGCGTTGATTTTCTTCCTATATTCCCCCCCCCC